ATATTTATAATTCATAGAAGACTTGTTAAGAGTTTTTAATTCACAAAAATCCTGCTGAGATTCTTATTAGAAATCTGTTAAAGTTCTTCTAAGCATAGAGAATTCTTAAAGGTACTTTAGCTATATAAATCTTGTAAAAGGTTTTTAGACACATACATTCTGTTAAAGGTATTTTATTCACATATGACTCGTTAAATGTCTTATATTCACAAAGTAAATGCGACAGATTTTTTTTTCACAGGATCCCTGCTAGAGGTCTTCAAGATTTAGACGACCTGTTGGAGGCACCCCACCATAAAAGACATGTTAAAAAACCCCTATCCACAGAATCCTTGATAAAACTCTTCTTTGATTAAAGTGTCTGTTGAAGGTATCCCTAGAAGACCAGCTAAAGGTCCTCTAACCTACTGAAAGTAAACTATTCTTAGACCATCTCTGAAAGTCCACCAGCCATTAAAGACTTGTATGCATAGCAGATCTGTTGAAAGTCTTCTGGGCTTGAAAGACCTGTTGGAGATCTCATATTTATAGAACATCTGTTGGAAGTCTTCTATCCTCAGAAATATTGTTGAAGGACTTGTTACAGTCCAAAATATGCCTCATCGAAATAATGCACATCTCAACATTTTTATGGAACTGAGATCGAGTCCGAAAAATGGCAATGTCGAAGATTAACATTTTCAAGGGAATTGTACATCTAATTTAAAGCGAAAGGAGTAACGAATACAGTTCAAACTAGGCACATAGGATTATTTATAAAATTTGTAGGACGGATGGCCTACTCCTTTTTGTGCCTCTCTAAAAATTGTATTTTTTTAATAAGTAACACCCTTATAAAATGTAATCAATAGTTTCTGATTTACTTCAAATTGTGCGCGTTGCAGTATACAGGGTGAGATAAAAAACTGCAACAAACTTTAGACTGCTGTCATTTCTAAGCCACTAGTCCGACAGCTGTTAAAATGATTCCAGTGACAACACATTATATTGTTTACAAGCGTACAAAAACATTTTGGTGAGAATTGCCAAAAATAAAGTTATTCGTGATGGAATTCAAGCGTGATTTTTTGATTTCTTTATATTTGGCTGAAAACCGCAAGTGGCTATCGTTAGAGCACTCCATCATTTAAATGTGAATAAATCTTTTGTGTCTCGTACCATCGCTCGTTACCGGGATACCCGACGTCAAGGAAGTGGACGGAAGAAAACAGCAACATTAGCAGAAATAGTTCGAAAATAAAGGAGCGACTTGATCGAAACCCGCGTCGCAGTGGGCGTGGCCGAAAAATGGCTCGGCCATTCGGCAAATATTGAAAAATGAGCTCGGGGTAAAGCCATTGACATTCCAACAATTGTAATAATTTACACCGCAACAGAAAGAAAATAGACTCAAAAGAGCTAAGGAGTTGCTTCACTTGGCTGAAAGTGGTGAACTGCCGAATTTGGTTTTCTCCGATGAGGAAACATTCGTTTTCCAGCAGTTTGTAAACAAACAAAATTATCGTGTCTACTTGCCAAAGAGGTCAACCGAAAATGTACACCTTCGATTGGCCACCAGAACTCAAACGCCGGCCAAGGTGATGGTGTGGGTCGCCATAACAGCCAATGATCGCTCTCCGATCGTATTAATCGGCCATCAGAATAAATGCCGAATATTATCGCGAAAATATTCTGGAGGGTGTATTAAAGCCTTGGATATGCAAACATTTTGGCCGCAGACCTTGGATATTTCCAACAGGAATCAGCACCATCGCACTGAGCACGCGCCACCCAAGAATGGTTACAAAATAAGGTTCTTTGCTTCATTTCCAGCGCACAATGGCCACCAAAATCTCTGGATACCAATCCGTTGGACTATTGTCTCTGGAGTATTTTGGATAGCAAGGTTGGCACTAAAAAGTACCAAAGTGTCGATCGCCACAAGCAAGCGCTTAGCCAGGAATGGGCCAAAATACCGCAAGCAAGATTCGGGCAGCGTGTGACGGTTTCATTGGCCGTGTTAAAAATACCGAAGTATTCCATTTTTATACATCATCTAATGCATATAAAAATATTGATATGGGATAAATTAAAAGGAAATCGCGTTTATGAGGTTATGGATATTAAAGATTTTGAGCCCTTGTGGAGGAGGTACCAAAAGCAGTGGACCGATATATCTCATCTTCACAACAGGTCTTGTGTTTGTAGAAATAATGGGATGTGTGAAATATAAAGAGAACCTGATGCCTTTTTCGGATTTTATACACGTTTTGGTTGTTCAAAACATTGACCCTCTGTGGGGGAGGTACCAGAAGGAATGGTCCTATCTCTGTCTTTATAACAGATCCTGTGTTGATACAAATATTCAGATATTCCATATCCTAAGTGGAATCGGATATTAATTTTTCTCAGCACCAGATCTTGTGTTTATAAAAATAGTGAGATGTATGAAATTTGAAGACAATCGGACCCTTACATCACCTACATAGGCATTCTTTGTCATAAGCCATTACTATATTTAAATTCGAAACTTGAAATAAACGGTGAATCTAAAATCATCAAAATATGTTATATAGGTAGGTACCGTTATATCGGAGCTGTGCGAAGACCTGGACCTGTATAGACAATTTTCTGTCTCAGGCTGTATTATCAATTTTGAACTTCAAATATCAAATTTGAAATCATCAAAGTACCGAATATCGGGAGGTACTGCTGTATGGGGGCTATACGAAGACGTGGACCTGCACAGATAATTTTCTGTCACTGACTGCAGTTCCCACTAAGAACTCTAAATACGTAACAATTCTGATGAATAATGACGCTAAATTCATCAAAATACCGAATATTGGGAGGTACCGTTATATCGCAGCTATACGAAGACGTGGACCTGCACAGACAATTTTCTGTCATAGGCTGTAGTATCCACTACGAACTTCAAATACCAAATTTGAAAGAATTCCGCTGAATAATGTCGCCAAAAACCATTAAAATACCGAATATAGGGAGGTACTGTTATATGGGGGCTATATGAAAACGTGGACCTACATGGCCCATTTACGAATTTTACCTGACTACTGGAAAAATAAACATGTGTGCAACATTTTAGCCATCTATCTCAATTCATTCGAAAGATAGCGTGATTACAACAGACAGACAGACGGACATAGCTAAATCGACTTAGAATTTTACGCTGATCAAGAATATATATACTTTATTGGGTCTGACATGAGTATTTCGAGGAGTTACAAACGGAATGACAAAGTTTATATACCCTCCATAGTATGGTGGAGGGTATAAAAATGTAAAACTTATGGCGTTTGACTTTGTTGCAGTTTTTTATCTTACCCTGTATATCTCTACTTGATTTCATGTTTATTGTGCACCAAATGATTAATATAACCCCGAATTGAATGGATTTTGACACATACGAAGGACTTTAGCCTGGACGAGAATCAAATTTGGTGAAAATCGGTTAATATATAGATGCAGGTTTGCCCATATTCGACGGACCCATCTGGCAACGCCATAACTTTTGACAGAGATGTCACATCGCTTAATGACATACCGCGTTTGAAGCGTCAGTCCAAGCAGATTTTTACCATTAACCAATACACGCCACGCGAGCGCTCTGAAATAGCTGAAATTTACATTCAACAGAAGAAGTCAATTCTGAAAACTCAAAGTGCTTTTAAAACATTAAAAATGTGAGAAGTGCGCCTTCTAAGAACACCATTAAGCGTTTATACGAAAAATTTTCGACTGGTAAGTCTCTTTCTAATCCGAAGAGGCCATATAAAAGTCGACCAAGGCGATCGGCCGAGAATATCGCTGCCGTACGAGCCAGTGTTGAGAGGTCCCCAAGAACATCCCAAAAACGCCGTTCTCAGCAGTTGGGCATGGCTCGGACCACTTTACAACGGATTATTCACATTGATTTGCATTTGATCCCGTACAAAATTCAATTGACGCAAAGAATGTTGCCTGCGGACAAGCCTCGTCGATTGGAATGGGCCCAAAAGGGCCCAAAGGTCCGTCGAATATGGCCAACCCTCACACCCGTAAAATACTTTCCACAACAACGATATTTGAGGCCAACTATAAGATGCAGCATGTAACTATCTCTGCTAAATTTCATAAACATCGGTTCAGATTTGGATATAGCTCTCAAAAAAAAAAAAAAAAAAAACATTCAAAATTTGTATTCCGAATTGCTTGAAGCTTACTAAACAATTGATTGACTATAATATACATTAATTATATCTGAAAATTTTTAGGCTCGAGATCATAAAGGAAATCACATGCATCTCAAAAAGTCAAAAATGTCGCAGAAATACTTAAGCTGGACACCGACTTCGTATATTATTTACCGTATACATATCTCGGCAAATCGGCTGCTACTTTCTAAATAACATTATATTATTAGTTTATGATACTCGACAATTAAACAAAAACTAATTAAATTTTTCATTTGAAATTAAAAAATTAAAAATTATCGATTTTATATTGATTTCATAACTATTGAAATTTCAAAATTTCCCTATATAACGTTATGTGGATCAGTAGGGATAACATTGTCGGTTGGAAATTCATGTCACCATAACTATGTATTGTCGTTAAATCAAAATATGGGCGGTCCTATGCATCGCATCCACATCCATCCGCATGGCAATGAAATCACAACAACAAAAAACCAATGGAATACCCCTAGAAGCAGGATGCCAATGCATGATGAAATTTGTTAAGGTTTTCTTCTTAAGCCCCCAAAACAGAAAACACAAACAAACACAAAACCCAGCAGAAAATAAGCTCTGACACTAGGACTGGTGAGCCGAGTTGTTCCACTTGTAGCTGTGGGCGGTTACGTTCATGCGCATTTCCTTGATTTGTCCAAATAAGGAGGGGGTGGTGTTGTCTGCCCCTTTTTGTTGCTGGGGGATGATGTCCAGCAATGCCATGCAAGGCAGCCAACAATCAAGCAATAACTCAACGGGCTTTTGTGTGTTGTGGAGAAATGCAGCAGCAAGGCATTCCAAAGCATGGCACAACTGCTGCCGCTGCTGCTGACTGGTGACCCAAAACAACAATGCCCAGTGAATAGTTAGTTGGCGGAGGGAGAAGCGGGTGGCACTATGAGAGTAGACCTTGGGTGAGAGTAAGAGAGCAAATGTGTTTTAGAGTAGCTCATCAATGCGTTCCGATAGTTTTCCGGCCAAAGGATGGGTAAATGGTATGGGTTGTCTGCCGACATTATCCTGGCGGGTGGTGGTTGATGAGCCCGACAAGTGGGTGGATGGGCGTTTGTCTTGTGGCATTGTTTTGGTGGTTGTTGCCCGTAGTCGTCTCATGATAGGTTGCACTACATCAGGTCTTTGGTATCCTCCCCCTCTTCACATGTCATTGGCATTCAAATCTAATTTCGAAACGCCAGTTGTGTCAGGTGTCCTAAAGCTACGCAATTTCTTGTAGCTTTCAGTTCTTGGCGACGCGTCCAACAATAAGGATTAAAATCATCCGTAAAACGGTAGTGCAAAATATTAAAGGAATAGAAAAAAGGAAACACATTAGAAAAAAAATAATAATAACTCAACAAGGAATATTTGGAATTGAAAAAAGTGTGCTGTTGCTGAATATTTGTAAATGTTAAATATTCGAAAGTACCGTGCGTGTTTAAGGATACCGAATACAAATACTAGGAGCAAATCATAAACTTGTGGTAATAATTTTAGACAAGTTTTAAGTAAAATTTATTATCCTGTAGTTTTCGATAAAGTTTGTTGGCAAAAATCATATCCATGAAAAATTATTCAGTGTTGAGACAATATCTATACTGAAAGTTAAAGGAACAAATAAAATATGCAAAAATTTCGTATCATTTCAACAAAACAAGTTTTAATAATATTTTCCCATTTTATTAATTTTTCGTATAATTTCCATAAATCTTCCCACAATGGGTTCCCAAAAAAAAAAAAAAAATATTGAGTCGAAAAGGAAGGTTGAAAAATCAGTTAGGCATACTGTCTCTGTTAGTTTATGAGGAGTCACACTGCAGATGATCCAGATTATCTGATTTTTCACATCGTTCTAAGGAAACCATACTATGGAGCAGGCATATACAGGGAAGTTCGGGTCCGAAATGGTTATTTTTCTGATATTTTCGGTACATTTTATATGGAAAATTTATTTTTTATAGTTGTATCACAGAATGGTTTCCATGTGCATATATATTTGTCATTCCGATTGTAGCTCCTCGAAATGACAATTTTACACATTTTTAGATATTCTCGATAAGCATTTATCCGTCCTTCTGTGAAAATCACCTTAGCGTCGATTGATATGAACTAAATTAAAACAGGTAAAAAAACATTAAATTCGGCCGGGTCAAACGTTTAATAACCTCCACCATTTGGAACAAATGTGGCAATTCTCAAAAACAATAAAATCCGGTAAAAATTCTGTTAAGCCATTACAATATTCAAATACAAAACTTAAAAAAAAACGGTGAATAATGTAGCTAAAATCTTTGAAATACCGAATATCGGGAGGTACTGTTATATGGGGGCTATACGAAGACGTGGATCTGTACAGACAATTTTTTTGTCTTAGGCTGTAGTATCCATTTCGAACTTCAAATACCAAATGTGAAACAATTCCGGTGGATTATGTCGCTAAAATCATCAAAATGCCGAATAATGGGAGGTACCGTTGTATGGGTGCTATACCTAAAACCTACCTATATGGCACATTTTCAATACCAAAAGTCCTGCAGACATAGTATACATTTGAGTAAAATGTTATCAATCTAGTTCAATTCGTTCGGAAGCAAGAGTGATTTCCACAGACAGATAGACAACGTTATACTACAATCTATTAACAATCTATTAAATGCCAAATTTGAAAAAAATCCGTGAGTAAATGTGACAAGTATTATCAAAATACCGAATATAAGTGGGTAATATTATATGGCGACTATAGGAAAACATGGACCTAGATTCTCAATGTTCTGCCACTGGAGCGAAAACCCATTAAGATGTGAAAAAAAATATCACGAATATCGGGATGTTCCCTTACGAAAACGTTAACCTGTACATACAAGCTTCCGCCACCGGAGCTAGAACCCATTGTGGCCTACTAATACCAATTTTTAGACAAATCCGTGAAAAAAATGTGGCAAAAATAATAAAAATACCGGAAATCGGGAGGTACCGTTAGATAGCGGCTATACTAAAACGTGAATCTATACCTGCAATGGTCCGCCAGTGAAACTAAAATCCGTGGAAAAATGTGCAAAAATCATCAAAATACCTAATATCGCGATGTACCCTTATTAGGGGGCTATACCAAATCGTATTTCAAACACCAACCATCCTATACACAATATAAACTGTTAAGCTAATTTTTAAAGCTATAGCACAAATAATGTGGGCTGTATTGTAATTTGAATAGAAAGACAGACGAACATCTTTAAATCGGCGTAGAATTCAAGATATTAAGATACAAATTTGGACTAAATAAAATAGCATTCCAAGTATCTGCCTCGGTTCTTATGGGTTTACAAATAATGTAATAAATTCCTGTTTTAATGTCATAGTTGTCATTATAACATTGATCGGTTTGAATACGACCAGAGTCACAATACTATGCCAAAAGCCATGGCAGTTGCCTTAAATTTACCCCTCTTTCCCTTTTATGGCAATTCGAAATAACTTTTGAAAATTTGGATTTGAGTTTATATTTTTCTAAAAAGTTGATCTTAAATGCACCACTTTTTTTTGATGATTTTTACTACATTTTCCCGTAGATTTGTCTAAAAAATTGTATTTTTAGTTCGAAATGGATTTTAGACCCGGCGGCGGAACATGGTAAATAGGCCCACATTGGCGGTATGGCGGTATCTCCCCATAGTCACTGTTTTGATTATATTTGGCACATTTTTAAACGGATTTGTCTAAAAATTGGCATTTGTAGTTCATAATGGGTTCCAGCTCCGGCGGCAGAACATTGAAAATTTGGGTGCACGTTTTCCTATAGCGCACATATAACGATCCTAGTCACATTTTACCAAGAAATTGTTTCAAATTTGGTATTTAACAAGATTTGGTAGATGACAATCCTTGAGGTATAAATTTGTCTATGGAGAATCTCGTTTTGGTATGGCCGCCATATAACGGCCTCGCCCACTTTATGGTATTTTGAAAAGCTTAACAGCATTATCCAAACGGTCCTACTGGTATTTGCAGTTTAAAGTGGAACACGTTTGAGTTCATATACTTTTATATAAAAATGTTTTCTTTATCCGAAGGTGGAGAGTTTTAAAAGTTTGTCGCGGCCGAACTTAATGTTTTTAACGATTTAATCCAAATCTTGTACCTGAAAAAATTTGTTCTCAAACTTAGATACAATTGGAATGTTTCGGCAGATACATAACCTAAGCATTTGCCAATTATTTATTTATACTCTTTTTCTGGCTTTCTTTACTGGGTGAGATAAAAAAACGCAACAAAATCAAACGCTATAATTTTTACATTTTTTCAATGAAACCGTTGCCCGAATGTTGGTCTGCGGTATTTTGGCTCATTCCTGGCATAGTGCTTGCTTGAGGTGATCGACACTTTGGTATTTTTAATGCCAACCTTGCTTTTCAAAATACTCCAGACACAATAGTCCAAAGGATTGGTATCCGGAGATTTTGGTGGCCATTGTAGGCTGGAAATGAAGCGAGAAACCTCACATTGTAACCATTTTTGGGTGGCGCGTGCTGAGTGCGATGCTGCTGAGTCCTGTTGAAATGTCCAAGGTCTGCGGCCAAAATGTTTGCGATAATATTCGGCATTTATTCTGATACCATGGCTGTTATGGCGGCCCACACCATCACCATGGCCGGCGCTTGAGTTCTGTTGGCCAACATTTTCAGCTGACCTCTTTGGCAAGTAAATAGATCATTTTGTTTGTTTACAAACTGCTGGACAACGAATGTTTTCTCATCGGAGAAAACTAAATTCGGCAGTTCACCACTTTCGACCAAGCGAAGCAATTCTTTATCTTTTTTGAGTCCGTTTTCTTTCTGTTGCGGTGTAAGTTCATGCACTTTTCGGAATTTTAAATGGCTTTATCCCGAGCTCATTTTTCAATATTTGCCGAATGGAATATTGCTATATGTTCAGCGCACATGTATTTTTGGCCACCGCGACGCGGGTTTCGATCAGGTCGCTTCTTTACTTTTCGAACACCATACCATCACCATGGCCGGCGCTTGAGTTCTGTTGGCCAACATTTTCAGCTGACCTCTTTGGCAAGTAAATAGATCATTTTGTTTGTTTACAAACTGCTGGACAACGAATGTTTTCTCATCGGAGAAAACTAAATTCGGCAGTTCACCACTTTCGACCAAGCGAAGCAATTCTTTATCTTTTTTGAGTCCGTTTTCTTTCTGTTGCGGTGTAAGTTCATGCACTTTTCGGAATTTTAAATGGCTTTATCCCGAGCTCATTTTTCAATATTTGCCGAATGGAATATTGCTATATGTTCAGCGCACATGTATTTTTGGCCACCGCGACGCGGGTTTCGATCAGGTCGCTTCTTTACTTTTCGAACCATTTCTGCTGATGTTGCTGTTTTCTTCCGTCCACTTCCTTGACATCGGGCTACGCCACCAGTATTAGTACTTTTAAACTATTATGGGGGACGTATCAGAAAGAGTGTGCCGATAAATTACACAAAAACGAATTTTTATTTCTCAATTTTGCAGGGGAGGTACATCAATAAGAGGACCACTATTGTCAATTTTCACACCTGATTTAACTCTTATTCAAAAGTTACGATGTGAATATCGAATATCGCTCAATATAAGATTTGTATTTTTATGCACAATTGTCAACTTTGGTGGAAGGTGAGAGAGTGCCGATATTTCTCATCTTTGAACTCGAGCTATATATGGTTAAAATATTACGATATACCTAGATTAGACCAAGAGTTATTGTGCACTGACAGACGGGCGGACTCCCGATGTCCCGAAACTGATATTATAAATCTGAGGATATTAGAATAGCATATAGCTTTACAGGAAGCGAAGTGGAGATCTTGTTTACTTTAGGCTTCGTTATCCTCAATACTGGTTAATTTGTATACCCCTCTAGAAAAAAATGGCAGGTTGATCTTTAAACAAAATTTTCCATAGACGAAAAAAAATTCTGCTGGAATTAGAGAATTCGATGTAGCAACCTACTTCCCCGTAATAAATTTCTAATAAATAACCAAATTCCGCCACACATTCTGAAGTTCATTGGGATCGGACATAAAAAAAAAAAAAAAAAAAAAAATATATATATATATATATATATATATATATATATATATATATATATATATATATATATATATATATATATATATATATATATATATGGGAAATATACCCAAACCTCAACCGATTACATTATAATTTGGCAAATTAATTTTTGTACTAAATTTAGTCACTCATGCCGAATTTCATTGGGATCGGATATACGTATCGTCCATCACACATTCCAAATTTTATTGAAAGGTGGCGTACACATAGTTTTTAATGCATCGAATACATGAAATCGGCCGAAAATATATATGGGAGCTATATCCAAATCTGAACCGATTTCAACATAATTTGGCAAATATATTTTCTGATCAAATCCCGTCACTCATTCCAAATTTGGAGACTGTATCCGTAATCGATCAATAGATATGTGCACATAAAATCTAGATTTTTGGGAGGTACCCCCGATTCTGATTCTATATTTCCAGTTCTAAATGGAATTTCAAGAATTTATGTAGCCTATGTTACTTTCAGGCGATGTTGTAGTTTACTTGAAAAATATGTGTTGCGGTTTTCGAGTTCATAAATTACAAACACAAATATATGGAGGCTATACGAAATCTTTACAGTTGTATGTGGGCTATACGATATCGTGGACCTATGCAGACATTTCTCTTTCAGGGGGTAAAGTGCTTAGAAATAATGATTTTTAGACAATTCCATTGAAAAATGTATCTAAAATCATCAAAATACCGAATATAGGGGGTACCATTATACGATATCATTGACCTAAATACACAACACTCTTTCAGCGGGTAAAGTACCCAGAAGGAACTCCTTTTGTGGATTTTCAAACAATTTCATTGAAAAATTTGGCTACAATCTTCAAAATATCGGTATCCGGGTACTGTTATGTGGGAACTACAGATATCGGGGACCGATATAGCCCATCTTCGAACTTGACCTGCCTGGAAACAAAAGACTGATCTGTGCAAAATTTTAGCTTCCTATCTTTATTCGTTTTGACTTTAGCGTGATTATAACAGACTGACGGACGGGGTTAAATCGTCTCAGAATTTTACGAGAAAAATCCTGACGAACTTTATGTACCCTCCATACTACGTATGGTAGTTCGTCAGTAGTCACCGGATTTTTTTTCAAATTTCTTATTTGAAGTTTGCAATGGGTACTTTAACATACGACGAAACTTTTTCTATATTGGCCCACGTTTTTTGGGGTCGGCTTTGTTTTAACCCGATCAATCTGTAATTCCACCATTACTTTTACTATATTTCTCAAAATCTATATTTACATTCTTTCTCGTCGTCCAATTCCAGTAACCATTGAAAATGATGAACGAGGCTTATACGGAATGTCGTATACTACCAGCGATTAATGAAACTTTTCCCCAGTTCAGTGCCAGACCACCGATATTAGAACATCAACATCATCACCTGCCACAACTACCACCACCTCCACAAACAACAACATCTCTATTCCAGCTACCAATAGTGCCACAGTCTCAGACAATTTCGCAACAACAAAGGCAAATAACACCAGTCAACAATTTAATAATTTCCCCATTAGATCTCTCGCTTAGGGCAGGAGTTAATATTGTGCCCATTACCCCGCCCTCAACACCCTCGCCACCTAGGAAACGGTCAAGATTTATGATGACAGAGGAACAGCAACATTTTTTGTGGCGACCGCATGTCATGGGAACCAACAGCAGTAGCAGCAGCAACACAGCGCCACAAACACAGGCGGATGGCAACACAACGGCCACGGCAACAACAACAAATAGTGCTTCGGTGAGAAGTCCGAACAGAGTCATGACAACGGAAAGTCAAAACTATGTTAGCTCCATCTATGCAAGACGTGAGGAATTACCTCTGTTCCCAGTGCAGGACAATGAAGGATATGAAACATTAACACAGCAAACTTTTGCAGGACGCAATAATGCGGCCAGCAGAGAGGCACTGGAAGTGGGAAATAATTTTGCGGAAATACCAAAAAGTCAACGAAGTGTAACGATGATAATGGACGAATATCGCCAACAACCACAGCAGCAGCAACAACATCATCAACTTCCCAGTATGCCAACAATTTATGTGGATGATGAGACAATTGTCCTGACGGAAGATGAGGATGACGAGGATGTCGATGAGGCCAGAGAAGAAGTCAATGAAAACGATGGCTCTGATGAAGAAATTGATGAAGAAAATGAAACATTTGTCAGTTCTCAAGGGCTCAGCGAAGATGTGGAAACTAATGAGGCTCACCTCCACCCGCACCACCAGAACCATTTACACCACACCGCCTCGTCGCCACATAGTTCGCATAACAGCAGCTCAGAGCCAAGGTATGAAAACAAACATCAAAGTGCCAATGCGGATGATGAGGAGGAAGAAGACCCTGACGAAGACGAAGAATATGTTGACATTCTAAGTAACGATGACGACGACATAAATCCTTTGTCCAGCAAAGCCATCACCATGTTGCGCCTGCAAAGCCAAACCGAGATGGAACAAGAACTCGCCCGAGATGGTCAAGTGTTGACGCGCAACAAATTGGTCTACGAAAATGAAGAATTACACAATCGAGCTGTTGATGGTCTGGCGAAATTATTTGACAGGGATTTCCAGAAGGGAAATTCCAATAACGATGCTGGCAACAATAACAATGGGAAAACCTACATTGATTTGACAAATTGCACAAAGTCCCCAGCGGAGAATCCTTATGCCACACGAATGCCAGGCACCCAAGACAAACAGGAAATAATGATAACCTCAAACTCCAATGTACCTCCTCCTCCTATTCCTCCCACTGCTAATGGTCACAATCCCACCAGCAGCAGCAATCACATACGTCCGACAGCGTATAAGACCCACAAAACCGAACGTAAACGTATGAAACTACGCAAACACATGTCACTGGACGAAGAGACTATTAGCCCAGTTTCGGGTACCATTATCCGCAAGTTACGCGACGACGAAGAGCTAGTGGTGCGCAAAGGCGACATTGATCCAGCTTTCAATGTGGTCGAAGTCACCGAAGAGGCTAAGGCGATTTTGGCCAGCATCGATAATAAGATTGGTGCATATCTGTGCCAGCTGTGTCGCACGCTGTACGATGATGCCTTCAAATTGGCCCAGCATCGTTGTCCGCGCATTGTTCACATCGAATACAAGTGTTCCGAGTGTGAGAAGGTAAGTGTTGTGTGCTGAAGACAAATGTTTGTGGCTATAGTAATATCTTTGAATAGAGAATTTTGTTAGAAAACGAATTCCACGAAACCAAAGAATGATGGGCTCGTCATTTTTATAAGTCTAAGAGTTATGCAAGGTAGGGAGAGGTTCAGAGGTTAATAAAAATGATCGATTATCAAAAGAAGTTAATAAAAATTTTCATATAGAGCTAAATTAGATTTGGGGAAATATACATACTTAATAAAATAAAAAAAAAAACAAGTAAAGAAGCAACAGTCGGTCGGGCCGAACTTTTAATACCCTCCACCATTTGGAAGGAAATTGAAATATTAAAAAAAAAAAACGGTAAAGAAAGTCCTAAAGTCGAGCGGGGCCGACTTTATGATAGCCTACACCACTTTGCTAATTTAGTAGAGCTGCGCAAAACAACTAAAAACTTTTATGGGAAATTCAATCATACACGCTATGATTATAACTATAATTTAAAGTTCAAATATATTTAAAGTTAAAATATATATATGGGAGCTACATCCAATTCAGAACCGATCTCGATAAAATTTGCCAAAGATATTTCTGAGCTGAATTTGATATATTTCATTGAATATCGTTGTTACGGAGTGCATATTACGGCTGTGGGTAACAAATATAACAAATCGGATGAACAGTATATATGGGGGCTATAATTATATCTGAACCGATCTTCACCCAAATTTGACATACTAGCTTCTAGACTCAATTCGGTCGTAAGTTCCAAATTTCATCCCATTTGAAGTTATATATGGGAGCTAAAAAATCTGAACCGATTTCTATAAAATTTAGCAAACGTATTTCTGAGCTGAATTTGATATATTTCCCTGAATATCGTTGTTACGGAGTGCATATTACGGCTGTGGGTAACAAATATAACAAATCGGATGAACAATATATATGGGAACTATAGCTATATCTGAACCGATCTTCACCAAATTTGACATACTAGCTTCTAGACTCAATTCGGTCGAAAATTCCAAATTTCATCCCATTTGGTCAAATATTAGACATTTGGTGCACAATAAAAGGTAAATCGGACGAAGTTATATATGGAGCTAAAAAATCTGAACCGATCTCGATAAAATTTAGCAAAGGTATTTCTGAGCTGTATTTGCTATATTTCCCCAAATATTTTGTTACAGAATGCATATTACGGCTGCGGAGGACAAAAATAATAAATCTGATGAACAATATATTTGGGAGCCATAGCTATTCTGAACCGATATCGATCAAATTTGACATACTTATTTAAAGGCTTAATTTGGTTGTATGTGCAAATTTCCATACTATTCGGGCTGATATTACACGTTTGGTGCACAATAAAGGGCAAATCGGACGAAGATATATATGAGAGCTACATCTAAATTTTGACCGATTATCTCCAATTTCAATAGGGTTCGTCCTTGGGCCAAACAAATGATTTGTGCAAAATTCCAATAAATACGAACTGTACTTTGTTTACAAAAATACATGGACAGACGGACGGACATGCCAAAATCAACTCAGAATATGATTCTATGCAGATCATCAAAAGGAAGTATGGGTCTATCTCGTTTCCTTTTGCCTGTTACAAATAAATGCACAAAGACATAATACCCTGACCACCTTGTGGTGTAGGGTAAAATAATAGTAAAAAACGCAATTTGGAAGAAACTTGAAAAATTAAACAAAAAAATCTGTCAAAAAATACCGCTCAAATGAAAACCGTTATATGGGGGCTATACGAAGACGTGGACCGATTTCGAAGTTCAAATACAAAATTCGAAAAAATAATGTCGCTGATATCATAAATATACCGAATAAAGGGAGGAATCTTTATATGGGTGCCATACGAAGATGTGGACCTGCATAAACAACGATTTTGAAATTTGAAGCAATTCCGGTGAATAATGTCGCTAAAATCTTGAGAATACCGAATAAATGGGGTAGTGTTATATGAGTGCACAGAAGAAACTCCTTCCAGGGGGTAATGTACTCACTAGGAACTCCTTTTGTGAATTTTAAGAAAATTTGGCTGCTATCAGTAAAATACCAATATCGGGGTACCGTTATATGCGTTATGTATATACTCACAAGGAATTCCTAGTGTAGAATTTCAGATAATTTAATAAAAAAAATGTGACTAAAATCATGAAAATACCGAATATCGGGGAGTACCTTTGTATGGGGACTATACGATATCGCGAACCTTTTTAAACAATTCTCTAAAGTAAAGAATTCAGAAGGAACTCCGTGTATTTATTTTTAGACATTCCATTTAAAAATCTTTTTTCATAGAGTTGTCTGACGTCAGGTTCAAATTCGAAGATGTGCTTTATCAGTCCACGATATCGTATTGCCCCTACAAAACGGTATTCGTTATTTGGATGATATTCAAATAACCGTTATGTATTCAAATAACCGTTATGTAGGGCGCGTGCTGCGTGTGATGGTGCTGAGTCCTGTTGGAATGTCAAAGGTCTGCAGCCAAAATGTTTGCCTGCCCAAGGCTTTAATATACCCTCCTCCAGAATATTTTCACTATAAAATTCGGCATTAATACGAGTGGAGAGCGACTATCGGCTGTTATGGCGACCCACACCATCACCATGGCCGGCGCTTGAGTTCTGGTGGCCAACCGAAGGTGCCCATTTTCTGCTGACCTTTTTGGCAAGTAAACACGATCATTTTGTTTGTTTACAAACTGCTGGACAACAAATGTTTTTTTATCGGAGAAAACCAAATTCGACAGTTCACCACTTTCAGCCATGCGAAGCAACTCTTTAGCTTTTTATACCCTCCACCATACTATGGAGGGTATATTAACAAAGTATATATATTCTTGATCAGCGTAAAATTCTAAGTCGATTTAGCCATGTCCGTCCGTCTGTCTGTTGTAATCACGCTATCTTTCGAACGAATTGAGATAAAATTAGCACACGTGCTAATTTTTCCAGTAGGCAGGTTAAGTTCGTAAATGGGCCATGTAGGTCCACGTTTTCATATAGCCCCCATATATAAATACCTCCCGATATCCGGTATTTTGATGAGTTTAGCGACATTATTCACCGGAATTGTTTCAAATTTGGCATTTGAAGTTCGAAATGGATACTACAGCCTAAGGCAGAAAATTGTGTATGCAGATCTACGTCTTCGTATAGCCCCCATATGACGGTACCTCCCGATATTCGGTATTTTGATGATTTTAGCGACATTATTCACCGGAATTGTTTCAAATTTGGTATTTGAAGTTCGTAATGGATACCACAGCCTAAGACAGAAAATTGTCTGTGCAGGTCCTCGTCTTCGTAAAGCCCCCATATAACGGTACCTCCCAAAATTCGGTATTTTGATGATTTAAGCGTCATTATTTAACGGAATTGTTTCAAATTACGTATTTAGAGTTCGCAATGGAAACTACAGTCTGTGACAGAAAATCGTCTATGCAGGTCCAGGTCTTCGCACAGCTCCGTATGTTGATGATTTTAGCTACATTATTCACCGTTTATTTCAAGTTTCGAATTTGAATATGGTAATGGCTTATGACAAACCTAGGCCTATGTAGGTCCACGTCGTATAGACCCCAATATAACGGCTATATTCGGTATTTTTAAAATTTTAACAGAATTTTTGAAGGACTTTATATTTTGAAAATTTCCAAATTCGTTCCAAATGGTGAAGGGTATTCAAATTTCGGCCCGGTCGAACTTACTGCTTTTTAACTTGTTTGAGTCTATTTTCTTTCTGTTCTATCACTTTTTGGAATTTCAATGGCCTTGCCGCGAGCTCATTTTTCAATATTTGCCGAATGGAATATTGCGATATGTTCAGCTCACAAGTCATTTTTCAGCCATTGCGACGCAGGTTTCGATCAAGTCGCTTCTTTACTTTTCGAACCATTTGTGCTTCCGTCCACTTCCTCCAACTTGACGTCTGGCTACGCTACCAGTATCACAGTAATAAGCGATGTTACGAGACACAATAGATTTATCCACATCTAAATGTTGGAGTACTCTAACGATAGGCATTTATGGGTTTCCAGCCAAATATAAAGAAATCACACTATTACGCTTGAATTCCATCAGAACTTATTTTTTTCTGGAAATTTCTCATTAAAATAATTCTGTACGCTTTTAAAAAAAAATAAAAAGCTGTCACTGGGATAAGTTTAACAGCTGTCGGATGAGTTGCTAAGAAATGAGAGCAGGCTGAAATTGGTTGTACTTTTTTCATTTTACCCTGAATATTAATATTTTCGAGGGCTTTGATGAACTACATCTCAACTGATTTTTACAAAATTTTCTATACTAGGACAAATGTGGTTGTATCTGCTATGTATCATACAATCTAACCCGATTATTTAAAATTTTATTGATAATTTAAAAAAAAAATTATATTTAATAATTTTAGGTTTTCAATTGTCCGGCAAATTTAGCGTCACATCGTCGTTGGCACAAACCCAAATCAGAACTCTTGGCCAATAGTCAGGCCAAAAAACGGCAGCATAGTGAACGACTTCCCACCTCCGTTGGACATTCGCCCGACAAAAACCTCAATGATGATGGCATTGATGGAATATTTCCATGTAATCAATGTGGAAAGACATTCCGACGGTAAGTGTGAACAGACATACACATATGAAAAACATTTTTATTGTAAAATTTAAAAAATATTTATATTTATTTCTCATTCCAGGCAAGCCTATTTGAAAAAACATCAAACCTCCCACCAAATGCTGGAAAATCTAAAATCTCTGGATATCTTCAAAAACTCAACAACAAATTCCACGAATCTCCACCCGCCCGTCGGCTCACATTTAAATGCAGCACTGCACTCGTCATCACGAATTCCCAACACTCCTTTGTATCCATCAATGATACCACCACCGCGGCCATATCCCACAACTCGATTTGGTCCATTCCCCTTTGGCACTCCCTTCGACCATAGGCGTTTCTACACCTTGGGTGAATTTTATTTGTCACAGCAATTGGAACGCTCCTCAGCCTTTCAATATGTACAGGCGAATCATTTGCGTAATTTGAGCAACGTTGCTGCAGGGAATTTTGCCAGCCGGCCTACACCACTCGTCCCGCTCCCCGTGAAATGACAAAATATTTTACGTCCTGTGCCGCGAATAGCAGCAGCTGTGACCTCAACAATAACAGCAACTACGACGATCAGTCAGGAATTGGTGGGTAGCACGGGTTCTTCTTCATCGGCTCCTGGACGTCCACCGATATTAAACCATTCTAGTCCACCGTTGGCGCGACCCACCGCCAATCTCTCACCCATTAAACCCTTCAATTTGATGACCTCAAATATTTATGGTTCCAGTAATTCCAGTTCTCGTTCCGAATTCGATGATGTATAAAATTAAAGCAATTGACATTATTATTATTGTTAGCCAAATATATTTCAGAAATTAAAGAGATTTTCAATTAAATAAATAAATTTCAATTTAAATTGTTAAGTATTGTTTCTACGTCTTTTTCTTCGATTTCTTTGGCCGAAATGGTCCCATTTGCAGGGAATATGATATGACATGAGCCATATAGGTTTCGTCGTGTATACTGTGAAAGAGATGAGAGTTGGGGCCCTTGGCAAACAGTAAAATGTCCTCTGAAGAGATTCTATCGCTGGACGATTGTGTAAAGTCCATAAAGGCAACAAGCACCAGGGTGGAAGCGGGAGAAAATCTGTAAAAAAAGTGTTAATTTTTGTGGGATTTAAAAACACATTTGTGAAAAATTGTATATTTAAGGAGGGGATCCCGAATCGTTTGATAACATTACTCCCACTACGAGTATTCGGCGAAATAACGAAATTAGAGAAAATCTCCTATGTGTCAAATTATTCTTTTTTCATGGTTTGCTTATGGACAGTTTTTTAATATCCTTTGTCACATTGCTATGGAGGTACATAAATGATACGAGTTATGTATCTAACAGAAACCGAAGCCAACATCTGACTTTGTTCAAATTTTAATTTGAAAAAAAAAAAAAAAAAAAAACAGTAAGAAAACCTCAAAATTCGGGCGGGGCCGACTATGGTGACGGGAGCATACCTCTATGCGTATTTAGTAGAGCTCCCGTCACCAAAAATTGTATATTGAGAATTTATGTGAAGTAGATCATTCCAACTATGAACCTTATTTGAATGTATTATGGCTTTGGGTTAGTCCCAATTTGTGAACCGTATCCAACTCATCAAGGAGGAGACTTTTGTACCTCTAGTACCAAATAACATTGCTGCGCGGTGCATGATATGACTTCGATAGTAATTATATTAAGAAATATTAATTGGAGCATTAGATATACCGGACCGAGTTTCACCAAGTGGAGAAATTCGGTTGAATATGAAATAAGCTACTCACTTTGGGTTTATATTACAGATGTATATCGAAGCCATTATAAAAATCTAAATCGATTTCGATAGAATTTGGCAGAGGTATTTTCGATCAGTATCTATAGCTAAATGTAAACCGATTTTCACCAAATTTTGAAGCACTTGCTTTTAGGCAAAATGTCGTCGGAAATGCAAAATTTCAGTCCATTTGGGCTGATATTGGCTATTTGGTGCACAAAAAGTCTGAAATCGGACAAACATTTATGCGGAAGCTATATCCAAATCTGAACAGATCTTTGAATACTTATTTCTGAGCTGTATTTTATACCTGGTACCAAAGATTATTGTGGTGAAGTGCATATTGCGCGTGTGAGGGACTTTAAACTCCAAATCGGATGAAACATACATAATGAGCTATAGCTATATCTGAACCGATTTTCACCAATATTTGAAGCACTTGCTTTTAGGCCGAATTTTGTCGAAAAAAACCAAGTTTGGATCCATTTGGGATGATATTAGCCATTTGGTACACCAACAATCTGATATGTGATAAAGAGATATATGGGAGCTACAGTGTGTGATGAAAAAATTGCAACCAACTTCAGACTGCTGTCATTCCTAAGCCACTTGTTCGACAGCTGTTAAAATTATTCCAGTGACAGCTCATTATATTGTTTACAAGCGCACAAAAGCATTTTGGTGAGAATTTTCCAGAAAACAAGTTATTCGTGATGGAATTCAAGCGTGATAGAGTGATTTCTTTATATTTCGCTGGAAAACCACAAGTGGCTATCGTTAGAGCACTCCAGCATTTAAATGTGAATCTTTTGTGTTTCGCACCATCGCTCGTTTCCGTGATATTGGTAGCGTAGCCCAAAGTCAAAGAAGTTAATGGAAGAAAACAGCAGCATCAGCAGAAATGGTTCGACAAGTAATAAAGTGACTTGATCGAAATCCACGTCGCAGTGGCCGTGAGCTGAACATATCGCAACATTCCATTTGGCAAATATTGAAAAATGAGTTCAGGGTAAAGCCATTGAAATTGCAAAAAGTGCAAGAACTTACACCGCAACAGAAAGAAAATAGACTCAAAAGAGCTAAAGAGTTGCTTCGCTTGGCCGAAAGTTGTGAACTGCCGAATTTGGTTTTCTCCGATGAGAAAACATTCTTTGTCCAGCAGTTTGTAAACAAACAAAATTGTCGCATTTACTTGCAAAAGAGGTCAGCTGAAAATGTGCAACTTCGGTTGGCCACCAGAACTCAAGCGCCGGTCATGGTGATGGTGTGGGCCACCATAACAGCCGATTGTCGCTCTCCGCTCGCATTAATCGACCGTGGCATCAGAATAAATGCCGAATATTATCGCGAAAATATTCTCGTGGGTGTCACACAAGAATGGTTACAAAATGAGGTTCCTCGCTTCATTTCCAGCACACAATGGCCACCAAAATCTCCGTATACCAATCCGTTGGACTATTGTGTCTGGAGTATTTCGGAAAGCAAGGTTGGCACTAAAAAATACAAAAGTGTCGATCACCTCAAGCAAGCGCATCGCCGGGAATGGGCCAAAATACCGCATAGCAACATTCGAGCAGTGTGTGAAGGTTTCATTGGCCGTTTGAAGGCCATAATTCATGCCAAAGGTGACCAATTCGAACAAATTTAAACTTTTTCTAAAATTTGATGCTACTTCCGACATTTTTTCATACCCTACACCACAAGGTGATCTGAGTCGATTTATGAATGTCCGTCTGTCCATGTATTTTTGTAAACAAAGTACAGTTCGCATTTATTGTCCTATCCAGATGAATTTTGCACAAATCATTTGTTTGGCCCAAGGACGAACCCTATGGAAATTGGAGATAATCGGTCAAAATTTAGATATAGCCCCATATATATCTTCGTCCGATTTGCATTTTATTGTGCACCAAACGTGTAATATCAGGTCGAATGGTATGGCATTTTGCACATACAACCAGATTGGGCCTGAAAATAGGTATGCCAAATTTGATCGAAATCGGTTCAGATATAACTATAGCTCACATATATATTGTTTATCCGATTTGTTATTTTTGTCCTCCGCAGGTGTAGTATGCACTATGTAACAAAAATATTTGGGGAAATATATCAAATACAGCTCAGAAATACATTTACTAAATTTTATCGAGATCGGTTCAGATTTGGATATAACTCCCATATATAACTTCGTCATATTTACCTTTTATTGTGCACCAAACGTCCAATATTTTTTCAAAAGGGATGGAATTTGGCACTTACGACTGAATTGAGTCTAAAAGGTAGTATGTCGAATTTGGTGAAGATCGGTTCAGATATATCTATAGCTCCCATATATACTGTTCATCCGATTTGTTATATTTGTCACCCACAGCCGTAATATGCACTCCGTAACAACGATATTCAGGGAAGTCGGCCCGCCCGACTTTAGGAATTTCTTTACTGTTTTTTGTTTTTTTAAGTATGGCGTTTGACTTTGTTGCAGTTTTTTTATCTCACCCTGTTTATGGGAGCTATATCTGAACCGATTATCACCAATTTCAATAGGGTTTGTCCTTGGGCCAAACAAATATTGTTTGGAAAATTTCATCTCATTCGGATAATAAATGCGTCCAGCTTTTTTTAAAAGCAATAGATGGACAGACGAACAGACTCGACTCAAAAAGTGATTCTATGAAGATCCCCAAAAGTAGCTATGGATCTATCCCGCTTCCTTCTATCAAATGTACTAAGACATGATACTCTTATCACTATGTTCGGTAGCTTATCATATTCATTTTACTCACCTTGAATTCTCCAATGTATCCGCTATAGTCTGATTAAATTCCAGCAATGTCTCGCGAAAATCGCTCACCCCATCCCCCACTACATGTGTCTCGGCGACAAAAACATAACCCACATTGGGTCGTAGCAAAACATTCAACGACTTGGAAACCATTTGCCGGAAACCAGGATTTTTCTCCACCACATTGCCATTGGCAAAGATACCCAAAACATAGTCTCGCGAGGTACCATTAAATTTCAACAGATCCTTGGAGCTTTCCAACAATTTAAATCTTGCATCCTCTTCCAATTTTATGGATTTCCAATCTTGCAGTAGGTTACGTTTATCTTTAGAATCACAGGCATTCACATCAACATCGGTATCGGTTGGTAAGCGTGACACAAGCGTCTGCTTACCCCCACCCATAATGACATTGAGTTTTTGTCCCGTTTCACCGGTCATCAATTGTTCGGCCACATCGAGACAGTCGGCGGATAGACGTTTTTCCTTGGGCATTGCCGAATCACATTCCCATTTGGTGTCTGTGGTGTGGGCGTAGAGGGCCGACAGGGGAGGTGAGGTAACACGTTTGGTACTTATGAAACCTGTTCGAAGCTTCGAGGCCTGGGCCTGTTCCAGGATGCTTTGTACACGATATGTGGCCATTGAAGCTTGGCTACAATTTTGTGATTCTGCCCGCCTATCCAGACCACCTAAGCCCATGCGAGTTTTCACTCCTCCAAAGAGGGCTGTGCCCATGGAGAGTAGATCACAATTGGCGGTATAGCCACAACTGCTCTGCAATTTGATAAAAAAAGTAATTTTCAAAATATCGTTGACTTCCAAACCCATCATCCTACCTTGAGTACACCCAAATGGGGAAATGAATCCCATATAAAATCCGTTACATTCCCCTCATCTCCAAACCTCGCTCGGGCCAACATATCTGTGGTCACACCATCCGCCAAAAACACAATGACATTTTTCACTTCCCCATTGTAGCGTTGAGTCCCCTTGGAAGTTAAACGCAAATCTTCCAAACCCTTGGTAAACCATTCCTCCTGTTCCGGTGGCAAATTCATGGTCCAATATCCAATACTCCCCGCATCCACTGTATCTGTATCGACTTCATAGCGTACCGTCAGACCAATGCAAATCAGCGAAATCACCATGGCCATCAACACCGTTCCGGCCACAATGAAAATTTGCGTTGACTTCAACTTTAGGCGACTTGCCACCGAGCTTTTGTTATCCATTGCCACCAGACGAGATGAGAGTTGCTTCTAGACTAATGTCTGGCAGTTTTCAAGTGCGCAGCGAAACTAAGATGTAATTCGAAATTTATCTGCTGCCACAGCTGCGTCTTGTTTGTTGTCGTCGTTTTATTAATACAATGACGTACCCATAAAGATAACGCGCCGGACAAGTTCATTGTAAAGTTTTCATGTGTCTTTGGTATTGACACTTATTTGTTTGTTTGTTTATATTTGGATGTATGATTTATCTCGAAAGCGATTAGGCTATAAACAAAACAAACACCGCAAATCATTTTTAGATACGTTGTTCTCCAAACGCTTAGTGTGTCACTTGAATATTTTAACATTCTAGTGAAGTATAGTTCGTTTTGGTGAGAATGTTTATTTTGGGTAGATCCCCTATTCGAGGGGACTTTGGGAAAAATGTAATAATTTAATTAGAAAATATAATCTTTAAGTGAAGTGAATAAAAACAAGTAAAAAACATTAAATTCGGCCGGGCCATACTTTTAATACCCTCCACCTTAGGGTAAAGGAAACATTAGAACCCATTATGACCCACATATACCAATTTTTAGACATATTTATGGGAAAATGTGCCAAAAATCTTTAAAATACCGAATAATGGGAGGTACCGTTATATGGGGGCTATACCAAATCGTGGACCTATACATGCAACGTTTCGCCAAAGGACCAACTTTCAGAAAAATCCGTGAAAAATTGTGGCAAAAATCATCAAAATACCGAATAATGGGAGGTATCGTTATATGGGGACTATACCAACACGTGGACCGATACTGCAATGTTTCGCCACCGGAGCTGGAACCCATTATGACAAACAAATACCAAGTTTTAGACAAATCCCTGAAAAAATGTGGCAAAAATAATCAAAATACCGAATATCGGGCTGTACCTTTATATGGGGGCTATACCAAAGCGTGGACCTATACATGCTATGTCTCGCCACAAGAAATGGGACCCGTTATGACCTACAAATACCAATTTTCAGTCAAATTCGTGAAAAAATGTGGCATAAATCATCAAAATACCGAATATCGGGTGGTACCGTTATATGGGGACTATACAAAAACTTGGACCGATATATCTCATTTTCAATACCAAGCATCCTAGACACAATACAAATTGCTCTGCTAAAGTTTGGCGCTCTACGTCAAATAATGTGGGCTGTATCGTGATTTCAACAGACAGGCGGACATCGTTAAATGGACTTAGAATTTTATGTATTATGTATATATATACATTACTGGGGTCTACGACGAATATTTAAGGATGCTACAAACGGAATGACAAAGTTAATATACCCTCCTTCCCAAGGTGGAGGGCATAACAAGCAAGGAATAGTTAATTGGTTTTGGAAACAGCTATCTATGCACTCCCAAATAGTTCATCCCCGAAACTGAAGTGAATAAAAATGGTCAAAATTTGCCTAATTGGAATAACGCATGTTTGAACGAGCTCCGTTTCAGGACACTTGTAAGCGATCTAGGAAACAATAACTCTAGAAGAGAGTATTCGAATTTCTCTACACTTGATACATCCCAATAATTTATATCGTTATTATTCGATATCGGTCGATCTTCTCACAAAAGGTCAAAATTGAATAAGAAAATAATTAAATTCATATTTCATATCAGGGCTTCATGTCAGGGCTAGGAAAGTTGCGAAAATGGAAGCCCTTGGCCCAATCCTTTAAAATAATATCACTGTGCAAGAAATTCAATTTTTTCAATAAATACAGGAAAAAATCCACCAGATTATTAATGTAGAGCTAAAATTTAGGAGAGCTCCCGTACCAAAAAAAGTTTATGTAGGGAATGTATGTGAAGTAGATCATACCAATTAAGAACCTTATTTGAGTGAATATCATGGTTTTAGAGTATGTAGTCACAATGTTGGAACTATATCCAATTTTGAATCGATTTTCAACAAATTCTAGTATCAAATAAAATTGCTGTATAGTGCATGGGATGACTTCGATAAGGATTATATTAAAAAAAATATTTATTGGAGCCATAGATATACCGGGCAGAGATTTGCCAAATGGAAAAATTCCGTTGAATGTTCAGAAATTTATCCAATAATTATGTAAAAAAAAATATTTATTGAATCAATAGATATAAAAAAAATTCAGTTGAATCTGAAAAAATCTAACAATGACCGAAAAATCGGATAAATATGTATGTATATCGAAGGTCTATAAAATCTGAAACGATCTCGATAAAATTTGGCAAAAGTATTTTCGAGCAGCTTCCGATTTCCAGTATCAAATATAATTGTTACGCATGTAAGGGACTTTAACTTATATATGGGAGCTACAGATATATCTGAACCCATTTTCAACAAAATTTGAAGTACTTACTTGTAGGCTGGATTCCGTCGGAAGTGCCGAATTTCAGTCCATTTCAGCTGATATTAGCCATTTGGTGCACAATAGACGTGAAATCGGATAAAGATATATATGAGAGCTATATCCAAATCTGAACCGATCTTGACACAATTTAAAACACTTATTTCAGAGCTGTATCTGATATCTGGTATCAAAGATCATTGTTTTGGAGTGTATATAACGAATTCGGAAAAAAATTGTATATGGGAGCTATAGATATATCTGAACCGATTTTCACCAAATTTGAAGTACTTGTTTCCAGGATGAATTCAGTCGAAATTGCCAAAATTCAGTTCATTTGGGCTGATATTGGCCTCTTGGTGCATAATAAACCTCAAATAGGATAAATATATATATGGGAGAGGTATTGTGAAGCTCATATTACGCGTGTGCGGTACTTTAAATCCCGAATCGGATGAATATTACATTAGAAATTTATTTTTTAACATTTAGAATTACGTGTTTACGATTTTTACAGTTAATTTAACATATTTCCATTTAAAGTCAAAATCTTTCTTAACAGCTAATATTCTGGGAAAAGTATCAAAGGAAGAAATATTTTAGATCAAATTTCACAGTGGGTCTCTGAACACAAGAAATGTGTATACTTAATATGAATCACAATAAAATATTAAGTTTGGATTATAAAAAAAGAGCTTGATGTTTCGAAATGTAAATGAAGCACATGCCAAATTATCAAATGGCCAAAAAAATTCAAGGGGGTATTTCAGCAATGACACTTTAATTATTGGTTTCCAAAACCGTCACCCATTGTTGGGTTATCCATGTAAACCAATGACTGAGAGATTTGAATCGTTAGAAATCGTTTGGTTTTTTTACGAAGCAAGACTAATATCTAGATAACAGATCACATTTTTAGCTTCGTACTATTTGTGTAGATAATTGGAAACAAATACAAAACTGAAATGTGTTCTGCTGGATGACGCAACATTAAAAACGAAACAGTATAATACTTATTACAAAAGTTCGCAAACGTTTACTTGCATATTTCTAACCCATTACAAATAATTTAAAAAACTAATATTAAGATAAATGCGTGCTTTTTATTAATTTTCTAAATAGTATTAATTAATGCAATTGTAAAGGGTATAAAAACAATATTAAGAATAATGGAAAAAATTCATGGCGGTTCGTTCGCAAATGGATCTAACAACCAAAATATATTCAGTGCTATCTCTGGACACTACTGACATTGAAAATCTTGAGGATTTGTTTGGAATGTCAATTGAAAGAAAGAAAATTTTACCGTATAAAATGGAAAGAGTCTATTTACATATATTATTATTTTTTTATATTTATTTATTTATTTATTTATTTATTTTTTTTTTTGGGATTCCCAATAACTTTATTTTGGCTTAAGGTCAAATGAAAACATCAGTATTTTATTTTTTTTTTCATAAGTTTGTTTTCTATTTTCCGATATTTCGACAGTTCGACAGTCATCTTCAGGAAAAAACAAGTAAGCAAAGGCTGCATTCGAGCGGGGCCGACCGTTGAATACCCTACAACACTATAATAAACGATACAGTTTATATAGGCGAGATACCCGAAAGAATTCCACAAGATATTGTGACAAATAATAAAAGAAAACCATCAGGTTCCGTTCTCTAATTTTCGAATAATAGCAACTTAAACTAATTTGCTCATTTCCAATTTATTGGTAGATGTTGCACTTAAATGCTCTTCCTAGATCTGGAACCAATATTTCCCAAAGACCTATAATCTCTCAGAAGTGGCAAAAGATTAACATTTATTATTGGTTTTTGACTGAAACGCATCTATATGAGATACAGACATTTGACTGTATTATTCAACGAAATCAGCGTTAACGAAATAGTCAGAAGTGCCTTTTTCCTGTATTTGTGAATTCTCCAAAAAGCCACTGGAATGGACATTTTCGTATTTTGTCTACAAAAGTTGGAAATAGTTGTGAAATAGTTACACATTGAATATTTTTGGATGGCCATCCAAAACTTCTTGGCTTTTATAATGTCCGGTAACCCCCATTCAAATGTGCGTGAGGATCGGGCGATAATTACGACCTGCTGACAATTTTGCAGTTTTTGGTCCATTTCAACCCCTAAATATATGGCGATCATCTCCAAAAAGAGTAGGCTTCTATTCTGACCCTCATCTTATCTCCATGCAAAATTTCGTAAGGATCGGGCCATAAATGCGATCTGTATATGATATCCTGATATCCTAACTACTTACTTTTGTTAGCTGTAGAAATATTACCAAAAGTTTAATTCAAAATGAAAATATGCCAAAAACATGACAAAATTGAAAAAATATGCGAAAATTTTACAAAATCAATATTTTCTTCTTTAGTGAGATATTTTTATGCGATTTTTTTAGATGTTTTTTCTTTCCTGCCAAGAGGCCATTTTGAATTAATGAGAAATGTCGAAATCAGTTCAGCCGTTCTCGACATATAAGAGATTTTTCAAGCATATATTTTTTGATAAACATACATATCGCACATATTTTGCTATATATCCGTTTTGTTGGATGTTAACATCAATGTAAACATCAGAAGTAACCTTTTCATGGCTTTGTGATTTCGCCGGGATTTAAAATATTCACGGATTAATGAAAAATTGTGAATTTTTTCAACACAAAAGATATGGTCTATTTTACCCGCTAAATATTATCCGATGACCACCTAAATTG